TTTTTCACAGATATCGATGGTTTCACTCACCTGTGGAATATAAAATAACCAATAGTCAAACACAGTCACAACATAGTAAGAATACATCTTGAACTGAGTGAATTAATGCAATGGTCACCAGAGAGAACAGGAAGGAAGAGGGGGCGGGGAGGGAAGCAGACCGGGTGTGTGCACAGCTGGTTTGGTGGTGGGTGAGAGGAACATGTGCACATCTGGGAGATCAAAAATGTAACCTCAAAATTTAAATGTATAAATCCAAAAAAATAAAGTACAATGTCTTTTGTGGACATAAAGTTCTGGCCAAACATCCCATTTTTAAAAAAGATTTATTTACTTATGCATACAAGAGCTGGGGTGCAGACCAGAAATGTGGATTCACCAGAGGATTCACCACAGACAGAGTGGGGAACAGAACAGGCAGAACTGAAATACACTGCTGAGGGGAGCAGCAGGCGAGACAGGAGAGGTCTGCTGCACCATGTGGATAGCTCCCTGGCCAGCTGAGGTTCGAACCCGTGCTGCAGTGGCTGTGGATAGCTTCACAGTGCTGTGCTTAGCCCCGTGCACCATCAGGGAGGCCCCCGACATTCCATTGTTTATCCTTCCAGCAGCAGCAATATCGGGATTTGGAAATTACGGCGTGCTGGGTCTTCGAGGCTGCCTATGGGTCATCGTCACAGCTGGACTGCCCTGTTTAGGTTGACTTTGGCCTCTGTGGTTTTTATGTATTCAAGACCCGGCTTCTGCTTATTTTTTTCCATGAGGTGAAATAAGGATTGAATCGTGGGACATACATCTGAAGTGAGCACAGTATTGTGGGATGGAGCCCTCGACTTGTGGCACCTGATGTGAACTCCAGGGAGTTGGTGTCAGAGCTGAGTTGAACTCCAGGAATGCAATGGGTATCAGAGAATTGATTGGAACAACTCTTGTCCCAAGGCAAGAGCAGTGTTGGGGCCTTAGCTACAGGGTCCACAAAGAGAAACTGAGTCAAAGTTAGCAAGTAAACCCCTATCATCTCATCCCAGGAGCAAAATGTAAGCGTTTACATGACATCTTTGGGTCTGCTGACAGCTGTTCATGGTCCGGACTTTGGGTGACAACACATCTAACTGAGGAGTGTAGGGTGGTGGGGTTTTCCTTGTTCTTTAGCGAGTATTAGAGAGTCACTACCCTCATACATTTTCATGTACAAGGAAATATAAATACTGATCTAGAACACCAGTGCTGATGGACCTGAGGGTTCTGATCCTAGTAAGAGATGGGCAGGGAGATGACATCTGAGTGATCCTCTCACCATCCCACAGTGATGATTTGTGAGTATAAACTGGAGAGACAAAGGTAGGACCCAATAAGATAGAATCAAGAGAATGAATGGATGAATCATTTATTACTTGTTCTCCCAGCCAAGCCTGAGTGCCTTTCAGTTACCAGGGAAAGTTCTAGTCTCACATTGTTGCTCCAAACATTGAAATTGTTGTTCTTGTACCGAACCTCACCCCCTGCACCTGAGCTCTCTTTCTACATTACAAAATTCTACACAGAAAAAGTCTTGGGAGGAGGCAGAGGCCACCTTCCTCCATAAGAGAAGGAAACCTATTTTCTCAGTCTTGCAGGTGGATGCTGCTCAAGGCTCCACCAGCCAGCGACCACCTGCTGGACGTGGCAGCATAGAGAGGCTGGGACTGTGCAGGAGGCACTGGGCAAGGGCAGTGTCGGCAGTGATAGTGTCCAGTTGTCAATATCAGCAGTGATGGAGCCTGAGCTGCAGGGCCCTCCGTGATCACAGGGGTGTCTGGTGACATCTGTGTCTAGCAGCTGGGGCAGCTGTTCCTTGTGGGACTCGCCCAGGTAGACTGTGGTGGATTCTGTTCCTGGCTGTGTAGCCTCAATTGTATCCTATGACTTTGCCCAATATAATATTAGGCCCCAATATTGTAGACAAATTTTGGATTCCATTGTTTGTTCCAAGAAGTCAATCTGGGAACAATTTCGGACAGCAGGCATTCCGGGTTATCGTTATGCTGAATTGTGAACCGCTTCATAAATCTTCCACTTGACTATACCCAGCTAAGTCCCAACATCACATCTCATAATTGACAACACAATCCCTGTAAAGACCATCTTTTCTTTCTGAGGGAGAAAAATAAACATTTTTCAGCATAGGTGTAGATCCCTTCCCATCTGGGCACTGTCTGATTTCTGTCCGCCATGGCTCCAAATCTAGCTGAGCACCAGCGTGACTTGGAGAACTTCTTGAAATACTCAGGCATCTCCAAACCATCAGCTGAGAGTATAAGCTACAAAACCAAGGACTCGGCAGCTGAGCTGATACACAGCCATGTGGGACGCCCTAATGGCCTTTGCTACCAAACGTGTGTGATCAAGCCAGCACATCATCAGCGTGTGATGAACATAGAATCTCAGGCTCCAAACTTTCTGAGATTTAACAAAATCCTTGGTGATTCCTGTGCACACTAGAGTCTTGGACTCTCTGGTCTACCTGCATCCCAGGCAATGATGAGCCAGTCAACTCCTGGCATGGGGGCTGATGGGACTGCTCAGCAAGGCTGATGGGACTAGCCCAGTGGTCAGGGCCTTGTCCCTTCCCTTTTTAGTCTCTTTGACAGTCATCACTCCTGTGGCAACTTCATTCATTCTTAAGGCCATAAATATAATTTAATGGCATCATATCCCATCTTCCAATGGCATCATCCAGCCCAGACATTTCTTCTTAACTCCCGACTCATCTGGCCAATCCAGCCACCTCACTTGCATTTCTTCTTCTTCTTCTTTTTTTTTTTTTAAATATTTATTTCTTTATTTATGCATACAAGAGCTAGGGTACAGGACAGAGACGTGGGGGGTGGTGGTGGTGAGAGGATTCACCAGAGACAGAGTGGGGAATAGAACAGGCAGACTGAAATACACTGCTGAGGGAAGCAGCTGGCGAGTCAGGAGAGGCCTGCTACGCCATGTGGGTTGCTCCTGTCCAGCTGGGGATCAAAGTCGTGCTGCAGAGGCTGTGGACTGCTTCTCAGTGCGGTGCCTAGTCCCTTGAGCCACCAGGGAGGCCCTCACTTGCATTTCTAATGGACATGCTACCTTCACCATCTTTAAACTTGATGCCTGTTATGCCTCCCCCTCAAATATGCTTCTTTGAGAGTCCCCATCTCCACTGACAGCAACTACATCTTTCCACTTGCATAGTCCAACACAGGGGTGTCCTCCCTGAATCCTTTCTCTTATACCCTACATTTAATTTGTTGGAAAATGCTGTAAAGACCATCTTCAGAATGTATCCAAAGCCTCATCACATCCACTCTTCCCTCTGCTCGCACTCAGTGGTTTCCTACTGCTCCTCGGTGCCTCCCTCACCCCAATCCCACTTCTATTATCAGCATAGAACCCAGTGATCCTTTTAGAGAAGACATACCACGTGCCTCCCTGCTCAGAACTACCTTGTACCTCCCACCTTGCTCAGAGCAAAGGTCACAGCTTCTATATCCTCCAGGCCAGGCTCTGATCTCATCTCCATTTCTCTGTGCTCTGGCCACATAGGCCTCCCTGCTCTTCACACACACACACACACACACACACACACACACACACACACACCCGACACACCCTGCCCTGAGGGTCCCCTGCTGAAGGATCTTCCTCAGCCATCTCGTGGATAATACCTCACGTTTTTCAAATCTTTCCTCAAAGGTCACCTTCCCAGGGAGGCCATGTTTGTAACCCAATGAAAACTGCCACCTTCCCTCCCCACGCCCACACTCTGGATCATCTTCCCCACTGCATTTTTCCACCCCCTCTACCACACTTTCCTTATTACTGTGCTTCTAGTATATAGTCTGTCTCTTCCCACAGAGCACATGGTCCACATGGCCAGAAATTATTCTTTTTTGCTTCAAAGTAAGTTATATCTCTACCACTCAACCAATTTCCATTCAAAGAATGACCAGTATAGACCACCCCCTGTAACAGAGATAGTATCTTTATTAATGTAACCTCCAGCCACATGCTGTTTTGTGGCAGTTACAGTACAATATCCACCCACATGGATGATGTGATGTGACATCGATATGGCCTCCCCTTTTCTCCCAGGTGCTGATCACCCTCCTGTCCTCCATCTCTCCCTCCCACACCTACCTCCCTGCACACCATGCTCACAAATGTAAATATAACTCTCTTCAAAAAACAATGCTCTTTTGCTTATGATTACTATTTTCCAACCAAATATAAATCTAAACTAGACTCTGCTTTACAAATCATGAGTTTGGTTGGGAGCCAGCACAGGGGCTACCAAATCTAAGGGCAGGGAGAGAGGATGGTGAGTGGAGCAGAATTCCAACTCCAACTTAAGATGAGAAATTATGGGATCCATCCTCTCTGCTGATTCCAGAATGTGGTTCCTTTGAGAGGTGGGGGAAAGAGTGGAAAGTACTCAAACCCTAGAAAGAAGGTGAAAATCATGTGTGTGTGTGAATTCATCTCCCCACGCCACAGAGACACCTGTGTGTGAGGCCACTCTAGGCTCTAGGCCTGGTGGGGACAGTGACAGGCACTGCTGTTGTCAGGACAGGAGAAACCCAGAGGGAATGAGAACAGCAGAACTTGCACACAAAGACAAGAATAGCCTTAATTTTCTATGGAATCTAAGGGAAAAAAATCACAAATACCGAAAAGAGGGGCTGAGGGCCAAGTCTAACCTAAGTCTAGCTGACCTGGCCACATGAAGCCCTCACTTCCCATAGTCCAGAGACAGGACAGGTCCAGGTGGTGTCTGAGTCCCTGTCATCACAGGTCCTGCTGGGACAGGTGCTACTAAGGGACATGGACAAAGGAGCAGAGAGATGACCCCTGAGGAGTGCCCAGTCAAAGCCCACTACGCACTGAGCCCCGATTGGACACAGGCCCCAACCCCCTCGGCTCCTACAGCCTCTCCCGCCCCCACCTGCACAGACTCAGCACAGCAAACCTGCAGTTCAGGCTGATCCTCAGGACTTTTCTTTATTCTCAATTTTTAGGAATCTTCCTAATTAACCCATCACCCCCACATGACAAGGCAAGAAAAATAATTTCATATCTGGATTATTATTATTTTCAGTAGGGAAGTAATATTATTTCTCAGAAAAACATGATGTACAGGCAGAGATGAAGTCAGCCCTGCCTCTGCTGGAGCAGGAAAGTCATAGGTTAGTGTGGGAAGAGTCTTGGTGGGCAGGGCTGGGCCAGTCTCCCCACCTCCTCACATTATGCTAGTAAAAACAGAAAATTCAGATGCCATTTCAGCAGTGAAAACTAGGGGATACTGAAGTCACAAAGTGGAGAAGAGAAGAAACCCTGCATCACTCAGTCCCCACAAGGCAGCTGTCTTACCCTATGAAAGAAAATAACCATGAACAAATTCAGGGAATCATGTAAGTGTTGACATTCTCAATAGTCCACTGCATCCTCAGAAGGTCCTCTTCACAGCTTCCCCATAACCTGGTCTCATCCTATCTGCCCCAGCTCCTCCTACGGCAGGCCTCTAAGGTCTCACCTTTAGGAGCCCTGGGCATTGGCACTGCCTGGGGGGATCAAAACAACCTGATTAGAGCTATGAGAGATGAGACCTCAGGAGAAAATGAGGGGGTGACTCACCCAGGGGCTCAGGGACCAAACCCTTGATCCACACTTACTTGGAGCCTGAGTGTAGCTTCCTCCTTGTCCACCTGTGGGAAGAAACATTCTATGAAACCAGGAAGGAGTCAGCCCATGAAGTCCTAAAGGAATGACCAAGTCTGGACCCAGGGAATTTCTAGAATGTGACCGAACACTCAGAGCAGGAGCAGAAAATATGAACCAAGGAATTGAGAGGTGACTGGACCAACTGCCTCCTGGATAGAGTCTGTCCTTAACAGGGATGTTTACTGGGAATCATGTCCCTATCACCAGAAATATAGAGAGAAAGATTTATAATTCATTTCCATAAGTGCTTTACAAAAGACTTTTAACAATCAACTCTAGACTGGGCAACACAGTGTGTGGATGTTACTTCTCACTAACCTGGAGAGCAATTTGTACCTGGAACTTTAAAATGATAGTGGGAAGACACCCCACTCCCTTCCCTACCTGAGTGCTTCTTTCTCCACATCACAGCTACAGCCACTATAACTCCAGCAAGTTTAGCTCCAAGAAGGACCAGGCCAGCAATGATGACCATGGTGAGGGCAGTGGACTGAGGAGGGGGCACTGGAAGGGAAGGGAAGGGGAGGCCCTGAGCCCCAGGCCTCGATATGATGCTCTGAAGGTCTCCAGAAGGGCTCCTGATGCCCCTGAGAAGCTCTGTGTCCCCTTTCCCTCCTTACCCCAAGTCAGGACTCGGGGCTCCAGCAGCCCCTCATGCTGCACATGGCATGTGTATCTCTGCTCCTCTCCAGAAGGCACCACCACAGCCGCCCACTTCTGGAAGTTTCCATCCCCCTCATGCCTGGTCTCCATAAGCTCCGTGTCCTGGGTCAGGTCCTTCCCATCTCGCTGCCAGGTCAGGGTGATGTCCGCAGGGTAGAAGCCCAGGGCCCAGCACCTCAGGATGACCTTATGGTCAGAGGTGGGGTGGTGGGTCACATGTATCTTTGGGGGATCTGAGGGAGAAGCATCAAAAATTTAACACTTTGTGTTTCCATCATGGACACAAAAGCAGCCTCATGTGACCCTCCTCAGAATGGATAGGACACCGGTTTGGAGGGAGGAAGCACAAACCCAGAAACCAGAAAACAACTGCCAGGGAATTGTGGGGGAGGTTGTCAAAAATGGGGTACAATAACTGCTCCCTCCATCCCTTCCTGGGTGCAGGAAGGGTTCTGGGTTCTCTGGGATAATCAGGTGAGAGCCCAGGGTAGGAGGATGCAGGTCTCTAAGGAGGAGAACACAGACTTTTGCTCCTGACCTGAGTGGAAGGTGAATGACACAGAAAATCAGGAGTCACATCCAAAATGACCTCAGACCAAAAACAAGACCTTGAGAGAGAAACTCATGGTTCCCGAGATGGCTGCTGGGTCAAAAGGGCCAGGTGAAGAGTGATTTCAGGGATGGTCTTGTTAGATATTTAGGGCAGTGAGGACAATGCCTAAAGAAAATTAACACCCAACTATACCCAGGACCCCAGAAGACTCTTGCCAGAGCTGAACAATCCCATGAACATCCAAGAAATTCCCAGAGGGGGGAAAGTAGTTCTCGCCCTTCACTCCCCAACCTACAAAGCACAAGGAAAGCAAGAAGCACCCAGAGAGGGGAATTTCTCAAGACTGGATAGTTTGTGGATAATAAGACATCTCCCCTATACAGGAAAAGCAATATCTGGAAAAAACCCAAATGCTCTCCCACCCCCAAGGGAAGAGCAGGGGGTGCTGGCTGACACCCAGGCAACTCATGCCCAACCTGCCCCAGCCTGCTCCTGGGCCATAAACCAATATCCCAAGAGCACCTGTGCAGTGCACCCCAGGAAGGGATGGAGGGAGCAGTTATTGTACCCCATTTTTGACAACCTCCCCCCACAATTCCCTGGCAGTTGTTTTTTCCAAAGGATTCTCCCCACCCAGGTGCCTTTCCCTGAGAATCTTTTACTTCTGTCTCCAGATAAACTTTGCTGTCCTTCTGCTAAAGAGGTGGCTGTGAATTCTTCTCACACCATAGTCAGGGACCAAGGAACCCCCAGATCCACAAACACCCAAACCTGACAAGAGCCTCTTCACATTTGGAGAAACTGGACCCCTTAACTGTCCAGACAAAGTGGGGCCCTCTGGGCGCGTATCTCTCAGGTACAGAATATGAACCCAGGCCGACTCCTCCCTCTCCCCCACCAGAAAGCAGGTGTCATGGTGTGACTGTTACTCCATTTTCCTCTTGCAGGGAGAGGTCTGGAGGCTTGGAGGCCTCCCGGCCCCTGTTACCTGAGCGCTGCAGCATCTCCTTCCCGTGCTCCAAGTATCTGCGCAGCGACTCCACGCACCTGCCCTCCAGGTAGTTCCTGACGCGCTCCGCCTCCCCGGACGCCTCCAACTTGCGCCGGGAGATCTGAGCCCCCATGTCCGCCGCGGTCCAGGAGCGCAGGTCCCCGTTCAGGGCCAGGTAATCGGCGCCTTCGTAGCCGTACTGTCTGTACCCGAGGAGGAGGCGCCCGTCGGACCCCACATCGCAGCCGTGCATCTCCTGGAGGGTGTGAGACCCTGTCCCCGCCCCGTCACCCCGCGTCACCCCGCGGTCACCCCGCCCGCGCCTCCCGGGAATAAACTCAAACTGAAAATGAAAGTCCTGCGGGTTCTTCCCAGAGTCGAGGGTCCGAGGGGATCCTACAGTCTCGGGGTGTAGCTCAGATTCGGAAGGTGAGGGGTACCCGGCACGTGAGGGTGGGGTCGTGAGCGCCCCGGGCCCACCCCGCTCACCTGCCACGCTCTGGTTGTAGTAGCCGCGCAGGATGCGCAGGTTCTCTTGGAAGATCCGTGCGTTGTCCTTTGAGGTCCGCGTCTCCCCCTCCCAGTACTCCGACCCCTCCTGCTCCGCCCAGGGCGCCCGCGGCTCCATCCTTGGCCCCGCCGCGTCGCTGTCGAACCGCGCGAACTGCGTGTCGTCCACGTACCCCACGACCATGAAGCGGGGCTCCCCGAGGCCGGGCCGGGACATCGCGGTGGAGAAATACCTCAGGGAGTGGGAGCCTGGGGGCGGGAGGGAGACCCGGGCTGAGCCTCCTCCCTGTGCAGGTTCGGGGTCCCAGGGAGATGAGGGGCGAGGGGCTCATAAGATTTATAAGGGGCGGCGGGACCAGACCTCGGGTACCAAGAAGACGGCGGGAGGTTGGGAGGGACAGAAAGGGATCTGGAGAACAGCGGGGGCCCAGGGGCGACAAGGATTGGCAGAGGAGGCTGCCTTCCTGGGGTCCTGGGCCCCTGCCCGCTTGGGGGTCCTCTTGATCCTCCCTCCAGCAGCAGCTGTTTCCCTCCCAACCCCACACTCACCCGCCCAGGTCTCTGTCAGCGCCAGGATCGCCAAGAGCAGCAACAGGAGGGGCGGGGGCTTCATGATCCTAGTCTTAGGGGTCAGGGGCGCATCTGAGGTGGGTGCAGACTTTATAACTGGGGCGCTGGTGATGCTGCTCCGCTTCTCGAGAAAACCTCCAGGCAGTGGGAGTGAGAATGAGGAGGAGTCACAGGGGCAGGGGCAGGAGGCCCGACACAGATGTGAGAAGAGGAAATGAAACTGCTGGGAGGCAGATCATCCCCCTGACACTGCCTTAGGGGCTGTGACCCCAGAACCAAATCCTGGAACTTGGGTCTTTGCCTTGCCCGCTCCTCTCCTGCACGGAGACCTGGTCACACTGTCCCCCCGAGTTCCCTGAGACGGTTTCAGATTCTCTGTAGTCTGAGCAATAGTGAGGACCCCAAGTATAATTATGTTATGTGGGTTGTAGCTACTAATATTTTCTACACTAGGAATAAAACTGTTGTTAAAAATGCTATTATTTCGGGCTTTCCCTGGTGGCACAGCGGTGGAGCGCTGGGCTGCGAAGCTGCCCGCAGCGTCTGTAGCGCCGGTTCAATCGCCAGCACCGGGGAGGGTCCCACATGGCGCGACAGACCTCTCCTGTCTCGTCCGCTGCTCCCCTCAGCAGTGTACTTCGTCAGTCTGCCTGTTCTGCTCCCCGCTCTGGCTCTGGTGAATTCTCTCACCCTCCAGCGCTTCTGACTGTGCCCAGTGCTTGTATAAATAAATAAATAAATCTTTTAAAAAATGCTATTATTTCATTTAGACTAATGTTAATTACCTATTGGATATAAACAGAAAGTGTTTTTAACAAAAAAATCTACTTCTGAAAATAATCAGAGCATTAGAAAAGTGGGTATTTTATAGTTTATGTTTTTTCAAGTATGTTCCTTGCCCGTTTCATTAGAAGACAGATTTTAGTATTTTCTTCTGCATTTTCCTGTTGTTTGGGTTGAAGTCTATGGAAAATATATACAGCCTCACACACACATGCAGTGGTAGTATTTAATAACGTTTTCAGATAATTAGGAATACTCAACTTTGATACTCAATTAAAACACTGTAAGTAGTAATTTCTCAAATGTTATCTGCAAGCCTGAAACAATATCATTGAATGTTTCCTATTGTTACATTCCAAAGGCCTCTGCTTGCAGATGGAAGTGGTTTTTAAAAAATTGCCATTTTTAAAAAAATTGCCAATTTTTAAAAAATTGTTTGCTTCCCAATGTCCCGACCCGCGGGATTCATAGGCAGGAAAAGAGAAGGGCTGAGGATTGAAATGAGGGGCTTGAGACAACTTGACGCTAGCGTTTACTTCTTTATTTTTCTTTTACCTTTCTTTTACTTTTCCCTGTCTTTCTACCTTCCCTGACCATCTCTGCTCCTCTCGCAATAACCTCTCTCGCAATAACCTCTCGACCTTCTCGTGGTTCTCCTCTTATATCCTGGTAGCTCCTCCCATCGTACCTCCCAGTCTCATTTGATTAATAGGAAACACCTGTGGTTTCTCAGCAGGCAAAACGGTAAAGCGAAAACTAATTAATGGCACGTGTGTTGCGCAACACGGCGCATGCTCCAGGTGGCTCCGGACATCCCAAACCCCAGGTGTAGTCCCAGTAAAATTTCCTTCCTCAATGCACCCCTGCACCATCACCTCATTCCCCTGTGCTCCTCCTTCCCTCCCTCTGATCCCTCTCCCTCCTCCTCCCCTGCAGTATGTCTCTGATTTATAATTGTCTGTTTGTTTTTGTTTTGTTGTTTTGTATTATTATTATTTTCCCCTGACATCTTATTTGGTTCCTCTATATTCCTCCTATAAAATATCATTTGATGTTTTTCTTTTCCTTCTGACTTATTTCACTGAACATAATTCCTTTTAGCTCCATCCACGTTGCTGTGAATGGCATGAGTTTAACTTATTTGATTGCTGCACAGTATTCCATTGTGTATATGTACCACATCTTCTTGATCCAGTCATCTATTATTGGGCATTTGGGTTGTTTCCAGGTATTACCTATTATAAATAGTGCTGCAATAAACATAGGGGTACCAGTATCTTTTTTGAAATAGTGTTTTTGCATCTCTTGGGTAGATCTCTAGGAGAGGAATTGCTGGCTTATATGGTAACCCCATTTTTAGTAGACTGAGGAATCTCCAGACAGCTTTCCATAGTGGTTGGATCAGTTTGCACTCCCACCAGCAATGTAGAAGAGTTCCTTTTTCACCACATCCTCGCCAGCATTTGTTGTTGCTAGTTTTTTTTGATATGTGCCATTCTTAGTGGTATAAGGTGGTATCACACTGTGGTTTTGATTTGCATTTCTCTGATTATAGGGATGTTGAACATTTTTTCATATGCCTGTTGGCCTCTTTGGAGAAATGTCTTTTAAGTTCTTCTGCCCTTTTCTACACTGGATTGTTTATGTGGAGTCCTGTGAGTACTTTGTATATTTTTGTGATCAGTACCTTATCAGTTGTATGGTATGCAAAGATTTTTTCCTAATCAATGGGGTCTCTCTTTGATTTGGTTAATGTCTCTTTTGCTGTACAGAGCTTTTCAGTTTGAATTCTTTTTGTAATTTTTAAAAAAATTTATTTATTTATGCATACAAGGACTGGGATACAGGCCAGAGGTGTAGGGGTGATAGGATTAATCAGAGACTGAGTGGGGAACAGAACAGGCAGATTGACAGAAGTACACTGCTGAGGGTAGCAGTGGGCAAATCTGGAGAGGTCTGCTGTGCCATGTGGGTTGCTCCCTGACAGGCTGGGGGATCAAACTCATGCTGCAGAGGCTGCTGACATCTTCATAGGTTGCATCTTAACCCCTTGGGCCACCAGGGAGTCCCTGAGAGCTTTTCAGTTTGATGGACTACCAGGTGTTTATCATTTCCTTTACTTTCTTTGCTTTGGGTGATGAGTCTTTAAAGATGTTACTGAGATGTATGTTTGTAGTATTTTACCTATATTTTCTTCTATATATTTTATGGTTTCAGGTATTATGTCCAGATCTTTATCCATTTTGAGCTGATTTTTGTGTATGGGGAGAGGTAGTAGTCTAGTTTCATTCTTTTGCTCATGTTGGTCCAGTTTTCCCAGCACCATTTATTGAACAAACTGTCCTTCCAATACAATTCCTTGCTCCTTTGTTAAATATGAGTTGTCCAAAGATGTGTGGCTTTATTTCTGGGCTTTCTATTGGGTTCCATTGGCCTGTATGTCTATTTTTGTTCCAATACCATACTGTTTTAACTATTATGGCTTTGTAGTATAGCTTGAAGTTTGGAAGTGTGATACCTCCATTCAGTAGGGCTTTTGGCTATTTGTAGTTTTTTGTCAGTAGGGCTTTTTGTTTTTGTCAGTAGGGCTTTTGGCTATTTGTAGTTTTTAGTGGTTCCATGTGAATTTCATTAGTATTTGTTCTATTGCTTCTTCTTTTTTTTTTTTTTTAAAGATTTATTTATTTAAGAACAGGGGTATGGGCCAGATGTGTGGGAGGGTGAGAGGTCCACCAGAGACAGAGTGGGGAACAGAACAGGCAGACTGACAAATTACACTGTTGAGAGGAGCAGTGGGCCAGACAGGAGAGGTCTGCCACACCATGTGGGACATTTGCCTGCTGGCCGGTATTGAACCGGCGCTGCAGAGGCAACAGACAGCTTCACAGCGCTGCGCTCAACAACCTGTGCCACAAGGGAAGGCCCAATTTGTTCTATTTTTTTGAAGAATGTCATTGAAATTTTTTGGAATAGCTTTGAATCTATAAATTGCTTTCGGTAGGATGGCCATTTTCACAACGTTAATTCTTTCAATCCATGAGCAGGGGATGTCTTTCCATTTCTTTGTGCCCTCTTCTAATCCTTTTAACAGTGTTTTATAATTTTCTCTGTATATGTCCTTCACCTCTTATGTCAGGTGTATTCCCAAGTATTTGATTTTTTTTGTTTCAATTATTAAAGGGATGGTTTTCTTGATTCCTCCTTTTTCAGATTGATTGTATATAGAAAGGTTACTTGCTTGTATATGTTGATTTTGTATCCTGTTACTTTACTAAACTGATTGTTTTGAGTAGTTTTTCCTTGGAGTTTTTAGGGTTCTCTCTGTATATTATCATTTCATCTGCAAATAGTGATAGTGTTATTTCTTCTTTCCCTATTTGGGTTGCTTGTATGTCTTTCTCTTGTCTTGCTGCTCAGGCTAGGACCACTAGTATTATATTGAAGAGCAGTGGTGAGAGAGGGCATCCTTGTCTTGTTCCTGATCTTAAAGGAAAGGACTTCACCTTTTTGCCCTTGAGAAGAATATTGTCTGTGGGTTTGTCGTATGTGGCTTCTATCATGTTAAGTTATGTTCCTTCTATCCTGAGAATTTCAAGGGCCTTCATCATAAATGCATGTTAGACTTTGTCGAATGCTTTCTCAGCATCTATTGTTATAATCATATGGTTTTTATTTTTCTTTGTGTTGGTGTGTTGGATTACACTGATTGATTTTCATATGTTGAACCATCCTTGTGCCCCAGGGATGAATCCCAATTGATTGTGGTATACGATCCCTTTGATGCATTGCTGGAATCTGTTGGCAAGGATTTTGTTGAGGATTTTTGCATCAGTATTCATTAGGGAGATTGGCCTGTAATTTTCTTTTTTGGTGTTGTCTTTGTTTGGTTTTGTTATTAGTATAATGTTGGCTTTGTAGAACGTATTTGGTAATATTCCTTCTTTTTCAAAATTTTTAAAGAGTTTGTGTAGGATAGGCAATAATTCACTGCTGAACATTTGTTAGAATTCATTTGTGAAGTTGTCTGGGCCTGGGTTTTTGTTTTGGGGGAATGTTTTGATTACTGCCTCAATTTCACTGCTTGTAATTGGGCTCTTTAGGTATTCTATTTCTACTTTATCTAGCTTTGGATAACTATATCATTCTAGGAATTTGTCCATCTCTTCTAGATTGTTGAATTTGTTTGCATATAAGTGTTCGTAGTAATCTCTGATTATTCTTTTGATTTCAATGGAGTCTGTTGTGATTTCTCCTCTTTCATGTATAATCCTATTTATATGTGTTTTCTCCTGTTTTTTCTTTGTGAGCCTTGCTAGAGGTTTGTCTATTTTGTTTATTTTTTCAAAGAACCATCTTTTGGTTTCATTAATCTT